AACATTAAATTACTGGCAAATTTAGTAATAAATATAGTCGTAAATTTAGACATACGTTTAGTCATGAAGTTAGTCTTAATTTAGTCATAATTTGTGCACATTGTGCAAAATCTAATATTTATTTAAAATAAAATGAGCAACCGGGTTCTTAATAACGAATAGGATATCCCATTATTGGCTATAACTTTTGGCAATGACGCGTCATTGATGGTAATATCCCGCATATTTATCCCCAGATTAATCCAACCTTCATTAATTTTATCAATTAAGGACTGTTTATTTGGAACTCTTGTAGTCCGAATAAGACATTCAACCTCTTTCCAAAGGTTCACAATGGGGTTGGAGTCTGGTGATTGTACTGGCCATTGAAGAACCTGGACTTTGTTCTCCTGAAACCACTTCTGAATAAGGCAAGACGAATATTTCGAATCGTTGTTCCGTGGAAATACAAATTGCAAAGGCATCTCCCGCTGAGCATAAGGAAACATAACGTTTAGAAATATATCGCTGTAGAAGAATAGATTCATAATCCCGTCTATAAAATGTAGTGGATCTACTCTACTACACGAAAAACAACAGGAAACATAATACCCCTCATTTTATCAACATAACAATATTTTGTAACGACTTTTGTCCCACTCTTGCACTGTTCGGAACAAATGAAGTTGTGCAAATTTAAGCTTGGCACGATGTTTTCTTTCAGAAACCAAAGGTTCTTCGCAGGACATATGATCTAAAGTTTTGCCTCAACTAACAGTCCACGTAATCACAGTTAAGAAATTCTTTTCAGTCTCCCAACATTCAAAATGCATTTTTCCTGGGCCTTCCTGTTTTCTCCATTGTTTCTACCTGTCCTCTTTCATTACAACGTGAAATTATTTTTGATACACTATATTAGAACCAGTCAAAATTTTACACTTCCCTTCTAAAAAGGCGTTTACGACCATTTCTTGTATCTACGTACTGATTCATTTTCCTTTTAACATATATATTTCTGCAAATAGAGTTTAACATAAATCTTTTTCCTTTACACCAAATCAAAGCGTTACTATACTTTTGTCGCGCTGATAAAGTGAATTGTTGAAATATATAAATTACCTAGAAACTTATTTGACATTTGTGAACAATCCCATGGCACCTATGAAAACGGCCTACTGTCTACTTAAACTACATACATTTTGATTTCCCCTACTTATTTTGTTTTAAATATTAGATTGACAAAAGGGATAAATAGAAAACGGTTGGTGAAAAGAAGTAGAAGCTGCTGAAACATTAACAAAATTTTGAAGGGAGAAGAATATGAAGAAAGAAAGAAAGAATAACGGTACCATTTCGGAACGCGCGAAAGACGACAACAGAAGCGACGGCAAAGAAGACCGATGCATTTACGTTACGCTTCACACATTTGGGAGGCAAGGAGACAAGCGACGCGACAACCGCAGACAACCATTCGAGGGAACGGTCAGTGTTGCCAGACCTACTGTTTTTTAGTAGATCCACCATTTTTGTCTCTGTTCTCCTGTTTTAGACATGAAATCTACTGTTTTCTCCAACTTAGCTAATTTTGTTCTTAATTTATTAAGTTTGCCTCATTCTTCAGCAAAAGATCGAAAAATATTTTCTCTAGTAAATTTGCTAAAGTAAAAGCAGCGTAATAAGCAGCCACTATTGTAGGTTTGCTCCATAAAAAAAAACCTTAAGATAATCATTATGTTTTTATTTAAAATGCAACAAAGAATTAATAGGGCATCATAAAAAGAACATGCATGCCAAACACAACGTATTCAGAATACTTTTGTTTCCGTACGTTAAGTATATATTAAAAATGTTATTATTTGGTTTCATTCTCTGTTTACTAACTAATTTGGGTAAAAAAAATTTTATTTTTCGTTTCTTAAATACTTGTTTTTTACTACACTGCAAGTTATAATTATTTCCTCCTGTATTAAAATCTTCTGTTCAGATCTACTGTTTAGTTTTATCCACCTACTGTTCCAGCCAATTTTCATGTGGCAACACTGCCCAGGATAGATCGAAAGAACTTTGCAACTACTATTTCTATAAAATATCAACTAATCACCTCGAAATACAAGCGATGACTGCGAGACAGGCAGCAAAGGCTATCCCGAGACCGATCTATCTGTCGTCAACTTGTCTCTCGCACTGGTCGCGCCTTGCGAAATGTGTTTCTTATAATTGCGTAAAGAGACCGTTCTTGGTCTCCTTTGCCGTCGCTTGTGCTGTCGTATGTCGTCTGTCACGCGTTTCGAAATGGAACCTTTAAGGAGATATACAAATAAATCTCATGAGAAACAGCAACACAAGTTTGTAAATGTAAGGTATACCTATTACAATTGTCTATACAGAAGAAACTTTTTTAGTTAAATCATATAGGGGATACGTCAGATAAAACTATTTGCATATTTGAATACATAACATTTTAACATCAAAAATATCAATGTCCATTTTGTTAATATAGTCTAAAAGAATATTTTTTTCCAAAAAAATTGGGTAAAAAAGTGTATTATGTGCAGACAACTAAATACAGTGTGTTGACTGTCATTCATTAGTATTTTTTTAGTTTTTAACGAAAACCAACAATTTGTACTCACAAACTACTACATTCTGATACGCGGTAATAAAACTAAAACGAATTAAATTAGATAGATCATAAAATATTATAATTCTTAAAAACAGTTTTAGAAAAATTACAAATACAGTTAATCACTGAATTTGTATAAAAAGGAAACTTTTTTACTATGAAAAAAATATTAAAGAAATCAAATGAAGTGTTTTTTTGATTATATCAATTTTATTTAATTGTTATTTTAGACATAATTAATCTAACTAATTATCTAAACGAAAAACCAATTTAACGTTTAGTCCAGCTTTTCTGACATTATGGATCACAGTGCTGCGTTACTGATAAATTACATTCTTCAGCGAAGAAAAAATGCCGATAACTGTGACGGTTAGAAAGTACATTTGTTTTCCTAGACACTTTGTTGCAGGCGGTTTACAAAGACGTTATTGTTTTTTTTATGACAAGGGTTCGTAATGAGTTCGGAGTTCGGAGCTGTCGTGAGAGAAACAACTGAACGTCGAAAATCGTGTCGCCTAATCCGATAACGCGAGCCCTGGAAAGGACTCTGACTAACTAACTGTGGTTTACTTTCGAACCATGAGAATTTTACTTAGGTGAAATCTGGGTTATCGCAAATATTATGAAGGATAATCGAGAATAAAGGAAGAAAAGCTCTACGCCTTCGGGCCATGTTGTTGCTCTTTGTTCGTTATTTTTCTTATACCAAAAAAAATTCAAAATAAGTTTTTATGAAAGAGTATTTTTTTGTAAAGAGGCTTGAGAAATCAGAAGTAAATATAATAAATACTTAAAACCTACATGGAATGATCCGTATGCTTTACCATTTATTCGTAATATAAAGAATATATAAACAATTTTACTTTATTTTTCGAAAGTATCTACCTTAAACTGGATAAACCTACTAATCTTAGAGTTAGGTACTTCAGCATTTCCAGATCGTCACAGACGACATTTTCTATAATCTCATTCGTTTATCGTTAATATATTATTTCTACCTGAAAATTTTCTACTACGCTAATGTTCTTTCAATTTCTGAATAAGTCGGTAGTTGCTAGGGACCAAATTTGGCGAATAGCAAGAATGATCTACCAAGTTCAGATATGCTTGTAGACAATTTAAGAACAAATCAAAACGAATACGTATCATACTAGTATACTTGAAAAATCAATATTTATTGAAGGGCTAATAACATGCGAGAGATGCCGGTGACAATCTCCAGCAAGTCGCCACCTTTTCGGACTTTTGCCAGTGGATCGCTGGTGATGCGCCGAGATGAATCTATGGCGAATCGCTGGCGAAATTTATAAATGTTAACAGACTAAGTAGATCTGTTAAAATACATTTTATATACCTCAGGGACTAAACATGCATTTTACTCCCTCATTTTAGAGACTAAAGTGCCAATTTTACTCCCTTGGGACTAAAATATTTTAGTCGAGACTAAAGTGCGTTTTAATTCCTCGTGTGATTAAAAGTGACACTTTAGTCTCTTGGTATATAATATACTATTGTTTATTTGAAAACCATCCACCCTAATTATTTTACACGTTGACTTAATCGTTCTTGATCTTCATATCATGATCATTATGATCACTAATTCAACTAAATTTCTATTTTGTTCACACCCACATGGATATTGGCTTATCTGCGCACAGACTACAAAACGAAAAAGTATGCTTGCGTTCAACTGAACGAATATATTTCATATCCATTCTAGATACTGAGAACACTGCAAAAAAATTAAATCCACCAATCAGAGTTCATATTTTGGACACCCAACTTTATTATTTTTAAAATTTTAGATATGCGACAATTCTGTCTAACGTAATTGTCAGTATATTTTTTAGTTATTGATATTAAATATACATTAAAATGAGTTGTTTTCGTGTAGAATCAATAATTATAAATAGCATTTTGATTTTTGTTTGGTCCACATTTTCAAAAAAATCTTAAATTTGAATCAAAATATATGAAACTAATTTAATTACCAGTATTAAAACTGAAATCCTAAATGTGGAGATGGATATAAGATTACGTCTTTCACGCAAATCTGGGCGGTGGTCTAATTAAATTAAATGTTGTTTTTGGTAGAAATAAGGTTGTACACCATCCTATACACCACTCTATGTACAACCTTATTTCTAGGACAAGAATATGAAAGACATTTAAATAATACTATTAATGGAACTACAGATACAACTCCATTTAAATGCCTTTTTGAAGTTGAAAAGCTGACGTACCCTCTTTTAAAAGAAATTATCAAAAACCGGAGGAAATTCGTGAAGATGCGAGACATAGAATGATAATGATACAGGAGAAATACAAAAAACATTATGAAATACTTCGAAAATTATGAGGTTGAAGATATTGTGGTAATGAAAAGAGTACCTACCAGAAAATACGGAAGAGCCAACAAAAACTCAACCTAAGTACAGAGGACCCTTGCTAATTATCAAAAAAATAGGAAAAGATGTCTATAAAGTAAAAAGTTTAGATAAGACGGATAGAAGTAGATCTTTCTGTACAAATGTCCATGTATCTCCCTTGAAAAGATATCAAAACTCTATTGAAGAAGACAATGGTGGTGATGATGACAGTGAAGGTGAAGAAATGCACGAAGATGAAGAAATGCACGAAGGTGAAGAAATGCACGAAGGTGACGTAGAAGAAGATAAACAATACAAAGTAATTGACAAATACGATTAAGATGACGACTATACCACGGATCTAGACTACATACCAGAAAAAAAAAATTAAACAAGGACTGCACAATGAAGATAGACGACCAAGCAGAAACAGAAGACCTCCAGCAAGATTGAAAGACTACATTGTTGACTTTGGTGGTTAAAATGTTACTAATGTTTTTCCTTTTCTGTTTGTTTGTAGAATAAGCACGTTTTGAGGACAAAACAACATCAGGATGGTCGAATGGTAAAAATAAGGTTGTACATTGTACACAATTGTAGAAATAAGGTTGTACACCATCCTATATACACCACCCTACGTACACCACCCTATGTACTTACTTCTTACGTGTGGGAGTCAAGACGAAGACTGATGTTTTTAAAAAAAATGATTATTGTCACGATTTTTCTAACTCTGTAAATAAAAAAGTTACCTTTCATTATTATCCATCAATTACAATTTTTTTCTTGATCATTTTATATTATAAATTAAAGTCATAAATTATTTTTTTAAATAAGTTATTTTGTCTTAATAACCAAAAATATGGCCATCATATTCACTCTTGTTGCACAAACTACTATTCTTTAAATGGTGTCTATTTTAATTATCTGTTATGAGTACAGATTTTTGCGACACACTGTATACTGTGCTGAAATATTGTGAATACTACATTTGTAGTATTGTAATTTTCCTCTTAAGTTTAAATGACTTAATTTAAAATATTATTTATCAGCCTCGCTCGCGAGCTCACCAATACTGTAATACTAACATAATTGGGTGTTATTTTTAGATAGGTAATTTAATTAAATTTAACAAATAATAATGTCTTTTCTATTTGTTAATACAACAAGAAAACAAATATTATCCAACATTCAGCGGCAAGTGTTTGATCCGAATTTAATCGGAAATTCTTCTATTTTTATATATCTTTTAAAGAATATGGATTATATGCAGATGTTATCAAAAGAAACCGTCTAACCAAAGATTCACCGTTTCGTGCCAGTAACTAACTTTGATATTTCGTTTGACAAATGGAAACGATGAGGTAGTGAACAACATAGTCATTAATCAACTTATACGAGTACAAGACATGTAAGCAACCACTAGATTTGTCGTTTTATATATGTTGGTTTAATGAAAAACGTGGTCAAGCGTCGTTAGAAACTCATCTGAAATGCATCATTCCAAAAAGGCTTTTCTGAAAAGAACACGTTGTTCGTTGGTTTTTACTTTTCTAAAAGAACAATGTTGGATGTTTTTGAATGTAGTTAGATTCTGGTTGTATATGATATTGATTAGTTTTGTTATCTGGCTATTTGATAACGATAAAACTAATATCATTTATTGACACATCGTAGATATTAACTAAATTAAAGTTCTACGGTAATTATTATCCTTATCATTTTTAGGAAAACGATAACTATAAATTTTGGAATGTAGATAAATAGTTTTGAATTCAAAAGTGAGGTAATAAAATACATGTACATAAGAGGAAATTTGAGATAAATTTATATCTAATCTTACATTTAAAAAAAGGGGCAGTCATAGACTCTGAAAATAAAACGAATTTGTTTTTAAATTTAATTAAAACATTGGTGTTGTAAAAATATATTAGGATATATATCAAATTCAAGAACGTGGTGGATTATTTGAGGAAACTAAATTAAATGGAAAAATTGAAAGCTGTACAAAAATGTAAAAATAACGAGGGGCAAATCACTCCCGCAATACGTGTAGAAAATGTGCGCAATCCCATTGAAAATCGCCGCAGTCCCATCAAAATTAGTTGCAATCGCTAAGAAATCGTCGCAGTCGTTCAAAATTCCCTTCGCAGTCTCCCCGAAATCTCCCGCAGTCCGTGAGCAATGACTAGCAATCGTTAAAAATCGCGCGCAGTCAGTTGACATTTCACCTATTCGCCATTGTCAAAGTAGGCGCTTTGACTAGGCCATTTAAGCCATCTTGTGTAAAATTAATTTAAGTTTATCGAAAGTGTCGTTCCATCAATTATTATTAATTTTAAAATGCCATTTTTGGCACAGATCATCAAATTTCGGATCTACTTGTATAGAAAATATTTCCAAGGTGGTCCAGAATTGTCTCCATTTCGCTCGATTTTTTTTAATGTATAATAAAATTATTTGTATATTATAGGGGACCATACACGTTTTAATTAAAATGTATTTTATTTAAAAAGGAATTAATTTATTGACAGAATACATTTTTTACTTTCCTGTCTGTATACAGATAAGGAGTTTTCGACGGATTTTTACGATTTGGGGTTCCCTGAAGTCATTTTGACTACTTTCGCGATGATATATGTGTGTGTGTCTGTATACTCAATAAATCATGTACGGATAATGATAAAAACATCTAGGGGATGTTACTTTATAGGTCATTTTTGTAATCCATGTAATATTTATAATTTACGCTCAGAGAAGAAAATTCTTTAAATAAAAGTTGCTTGTGTTGCTCTATAATTTTTATCCTGTAGGTACGTAATTTTCTTAAAATGGTTGGTAATCAAGAAATTTTACAAAAAGTGAAAATTTCGAATTTTTAAGAAAATTGTTCAAATAAAAGTCATTCTCTATAATTTTTGTTTTATACATGATTTGTACCGTATTCGAGATATTTGAGGAAAAGTGCAAATTTCGTATATGGTATACATTCAAAAACGGATAAACAGAAAAACATTTTAAACTTAAACTTTGATCCATTCTCTTATGTGTTTATTAGCGTTCGGGCATGGTGGGAGTACTTTGTAAATGGTCGTTTTTCTACTTAATGGAATTATTAAGTGTAGATCCAAGTAGCATATATCCTTTTAACAAGATGATGGGGCTCTTACCAATGAGTTTCTTATAGAGGTCCAAACAGATATCTTTAATGTTAGCCTAAGAAAGTTGATGACTGTGCTAAATTAAGTTCATTAGATATTAAGGTTTGTTTTTGTTTTTAAATTTCTTGTTGTTACTTAACTCTACATTACTATTAATTTTTTATAGGGTTTGTAAAGTATCTAATAAATAAATAAATATATTGATATGGAAAATCAAATGATGAAATTTTTAAAATTAGTTATTAGTGTCAAAATTTGAAGTTGGCAAAATTGGACGGTTGAGAATCTAGAAATATTTTGAAATTTTTTATCAAGTTTAAATAAAGAAAAATAATTAAAACCAAAGGTAAAGAAATTTTATTTAGATTGGAAGGTGGAATTGATAAGCAGAATGGAGTCAAAGTAACGGGCACAAGAGCAGTGAGAAGAGACGGACAGTACAGTTGTTGCAGAGGAACCAGGAGAGTATAAGCAGACCGAATAGGAGAGTAGCCAGGGCAGAAAACAGAAGAATATTTTTTTTAATTTAAAATTTTATTATCAAAATTCTTATTGTAAATTACTTTTCTAGATTTTGAACCTGCCCCATTTGAGATTTTGTATTTTTGTTGAAATTCACATACAATGTATTATTTATACTTAAAGAAAAAATTTCTTCAATTAAAGTTGTTTGTGATATTATTCTCTAACTTTTATCCCATACATAATTTTCAAAAAATGGTACATATTCGAGAAATTTGACAAAAAGTGGTGTGATACAGTAGATTGTATAAAATAACCGGAAAAAGCATGTAATAACTAGACGGAAAAGTCATGTTTGGGACACATTAGATTTTTATGTAAAAAAGTGGAAAGAATATTTTTGCAAAAAAATAGTACATACACAAAAACTGTAGAGATAAAAAACACACTCTAATTCATCCCTTTAGCTTTAGAATAATAGTTGGCAGGTGCAGTGTTAGTATGAGTTTTAATTTAATATGTTTAAATAAAGAGTGATCCACAATAGTTGTTTGTGCAATAAGAGTGGATATGATAGCCATATGTAAGTCGGACATTCCACTCAAATTGTACAGTATATTTTTTTACAACCCACTAATGAAAATTAACAAAATTTTAAAAATTAATTTAGAGATAAATAAGATAAAATGACTATTTTAAAAATAGATACTAACAATAACAAGTACTAATAATGTAATGTAATGTACTAAATAACAAAAAGCGTAATTTTGTATAAATGACGCTTTTACTATTTGGTATTTAGTTACGCAATCTAGCGGTCGTCTTACGATTCTCTAAATCATTTCCGTGTTTTTCTTGTGATCACTTCAGTCAATAAATATTTTTCCAAAAGCTGTCCTATTAACGGTTCGTCAGATATGGACGCAAGCTGTTCTTATTGGGCCACCCCGTGCAACATAATATTTGAAAAGAACCTAATTAATTCATAAATTCAACCGTTTGTCAAAAATACACGTGTTTAAATAGAAAATTTTACATAATATTCAATATTAAAGAAATTCCCTATAGACTTTACTTTCATATATTCATAACCTCAGTTTAGTACTCTTACGAGGGGAAACACTCAACTCTTGGTGTTGCTAATTCCACTCTGAAACGGTGGTTGTCACCTCTAAGGAGCCAGGTGTCTGAGTGTTTTGGTTATGAAAAACCGTCTGTAAGCAATTTTTTTTAATATTGAATATAATGTAAAATTTCCTATTTTCACACGTGTCTTTTTGTCAAATTGTTGATTTTAGAACATAATTAGGTTGTTCGAAAATTATGTTGTATCTGGTGGTCGGTTAAATAAGAATGGATTTCGGCCATATCTGGGGAATCGTTTGAAGTACAGCTTCTGAAAAAAGTTTGATGACTAGAACGTGGTTACAAGAAAAATATAAATATTAGTTAGAGAACCGTAATTTGTTAAATAAAATAAACTTTAAAAACAAGACAAAAAAATATTTTTTTAATATACGATGTATATTGTAAATATACTCGAATATCTTGTGGAATGCTTTTATTTATCGAATCTTCAAAAGAATCATTCATTTTTAATAACATTTAATCTCAATAACTAAAAAATATACTGATAATTAGTTTGACAGAATTGTGATTTATTTAAAATATTAAAAAATAAAGTTAATTTAATAAAACAATTTTCACGTTTTTTCAC